CCCCAAAACCCCAAAACCCCAAAACCCCAAAACCCCAAAACCCCAAAACCCCATAAATAATATTAAAGATTGATCATAATAATAATAAAATTAATGAACTCCAACGCTAAAAGCATCATGCCTTGCCCACAAGTTGATATCTGGGATGTTGAAAGTTTAGTATCTGAAGAGACTGATGGATCAGGGCCTCAGGCTCCTAAGTTCACTCAGCAATTTACAAACACTCTTAAGCACAACAAGGGCCATATTAGGAAGTCTGACTTTGATAAAATTTCCGGTTGCTCACCAGAGTCTGAAGAATTATGAGAAGATAGCAGCCCTCAATCAATTATTGTAGAATTCTTGCCAAAGAAAGTGAGGGTAGGAGCCAAACGTAAGCTTAGAGATTACAGACCTGGAACATACAACGCTAAAGCTCCATTGAAATGGGGACAACTTGAGCTCCCTGAAAAAGGCTCGGATTATCTAAGAAAGTTGCCATCTGAAGAGATCCTCAGAGCCATGTTGGCATAACTAATTGTACTAAATAAATTTATTTATTAATAATACACACATTTTTGGATTAATTAAGTCTCTTCAGGGTTTAGGTAGAATAAGCTAGAGTCCGAAAGCAAGCTAGACTCGATTACTTAGCCTTGTCATGCTCTGGCCTTCACCAGAGTTGCTGTGTTAGTGGGATAGCTAATCAGAGGAGTAAGCTTACATCTTCGAGGCTTTATGGGTTATCATCGCATTTCTTCGTAATTTTGATATTCCAGCAACAAATATTAAGGAGTAAAGACTCTAGTCTACCTGGCTAATTCTTAATTTCTTTGAAAATTTCTGTTATCTTCACTCCTCAACAGTATGAATAAATATTTTTTTTAACAAAATAGAGAATCAAAGTTGGTGTAAACTAAAAATAAATACATCATAATTAACGTATTACGTACCTGCTGTTTTTGAATTTTGAATTCTCTACTGAGTAATCAATCAAGTAGAATCTTGTGGCTTAGTCCACCAAGTTAGCAGGCTTGCTTGTGCTTTGAAAGTTCAGATTCATATTATAATTCATTTATATATTGGAGCGATAGAATAGGACTCTTCCAAAGGGAAAGTCTTCACTAATAAACCCTGGCAATTTTATAATGAGTTTGCCAAATAGGACTCTACAATTCTCATTGAGCAAACCTTGTTGCTGTGGAAACTCTGGAGAGATTCATGCATCAAAAATTGCCATCCTTGATGACTAACCTTGCTTAAATATTTTTAGAGAAATACTGGGTTGAGAAAGCTTAGTTCGTTAGGCATGGATACAAATAAATTGAGTAATCACCCTGAGTGCCTTGTTTATCCAACCTCAGGGATATGGTATCCTCAAAAGAAGGCTTATCCCTTTCTCACTAGCTTTCTTCTCAGCTAAATATTAATCTATGAAGTTTTTCATTTTCTAGCTTTCACCTACTTGAATGAATTAACTGAGGCCTATGTAAATATCATCCTAAAATAGGAGAAATTCTTCAACTCAAAAAGAGGGAACTTCCAGTGCGTCTTAATTGTAGCATTCACGAGTATAAACCATGTTATGGATAACTTTCAACCTCATCGGTATAAAATTTAGACTCCTGAGTCTGTAAGGATAGGATTCTAGAACATCATAACAGAAATGGTTCACCAACAAGCCAAGTCATGAACCATACTAAACGGTGGAGTTGAGACGAACTTATTAGAACATTTTTATAAAACCTCAGATTTACTTTCTATCCTGATCCTAAGGTCAATGGTTGTCTCTGTTTTAAGCTAGCCTGGGTTCAAAATCTATTTGAATTAAATAACATCATCATGGGCTTCATCTTCTGCTATTTCATGGCCAAAATTTGTTCCTAATCTCGTATTTTATAGTAGCAATAAACCGAGATTTTAGTTAAATAAGTTTACTTTAACGAATTTATAGCTATCACAATGTTGGTGAGCTTGGCATCCCAAAGTGGCTCTGAAGGTATACCTGAGGATGTAGCTCTTATGATGCATCCTCATGCATGCTCTAGGCATGGCATTACCTCTGAAGGCCAGTCATGAATAAAGATAGGGAATCTGAATTTTAACATGCTGGCAGTAGAATGTGGAATAATACTAGAGCTCATTCATTATTTCACAGTGAAGATTTTATAGAAGTCAGGAGCCACAAAGTGCTATTTGGAGTCTTTTCAGGCTACATCTTGCTAAGTTATACCATAAAGCCATATTTTCAGACCTAGGCTTAATAACTATTTTTCATGAAATCCAATTCTGAGCCCATGGAGACCTTCTTCCATGATTCCAGCGAGCTTTTAGCAGTTTATAGCCAGATTAGCAGCATTTCATCCCCTATTTATTCCAATAAGAAGTTTACTCTCGACAGAAGTTATACTAATTGATAAAATATGAAAATTTCAAGTTGAGATTATCTTTAAGGGGTTTTGGGGTTTTGGGGTTTTGGGGTTTTGGGGTTTTGGGG